TATCAATATCATAAAGGGCTATTGATCATTGTTAAATGATACATGTGTAAATCAGAGAATAGCAAATAAACGAGGCATGTATTTAAAGACAGATGGGAATGAATAAGATTTAACAGAAGCTCGGAGACTTTTCAGATTCCTAGGCTAATTTCTTTTATTTTTCTTTAGATTTTTGTTCACCTCTTGTCCAAAGTGAAAATACAACCATGGCTTATTGAAGCCCTGTTACTAATCTACCAGAAGAGTATCTTGTTTATATTTTAAAAAGAGAAAGTGTAAAATAGAGCTTTTTATTACGTATTGTAGAAGTTTCTTCATGGATGAGCTCGATCTTATAGTGCAGCCAACAAAATATTAAATAAATGCCTAGAATAAAGAAATTAAGATTCATTGAGCCCCTGTACGCACCAAATATGATACTTTACATTGGTTATTTACCTCTCTATAGAATCACCTTTGGTAAGTGAAAAGTAAGAATATTGCCAGTTTCCTGTGGTAATTGTGTTACAAACCCATCTCCTACATTCCAGAGTCAAATACCCCACCATGGCCATGACAAGTCGACTAGGCATTGACACCCCAATTTCCCACGTTATCATTTTTGTGATTTCTTCCCTGCTTACTCGCCTCCACTAAAGCGAAAGGTGTCCTGGTGTGTTTCCACGGTCTGATAGTGCCTGGGATAGGATAATACGACTTTGTGGAATGGCATAGGTGAGCGATTATGTGTGAATGGAGGGCGAGAGTCTGTGCTTGCCTAGGGATTGGTCAACAGGTCTTCTGCGAAGAAGAGTCCTGAAATCCCAAGAGACCTCGTTACTCCGACAAGTGAGAGGTCTTGTAGAAGACAGAGTGAGACTGAAGAAGCTTCTGCCTTTCACTAAAATATCTGCATCCTGTAAAATCTAATGCATATGCAGTTTGCATTTATTTCCCTTCCCATACCCTCAGGCAATATTCTTAAACAACCTCTTTTAAAAACTGGAATTGCCTGGCTTATATAGAGTAACTCCCATGCAATGAGTGGTGTGGGGTATATATTAGTTTAAACTCTGACACCAGTGTGTTAAGGAACAAATTCCACTGAGTAAGTAATCCAGAAAATTAATTTTGAGAGAGTTTAATAGATTTTTGTTGCAGAAATACCCCAAAGATAATTTCAGCTCAGGGTAACCACAGGAAAAGGAAACGAAGAAGAAGTGGGAGAGAAATGATTGCAGGGATTTCTTCAGTAGACTCCCAGTCTTCTTCATTCTTTCTCCACAGTTCACCAGTATTTGGAGTCTCCGCCGGTAGGAGACAAGGTGACAACACCCTGCCCATCACTTTTTAAATCTGACCAAGGCTATGACTGTTTGTGGCTTGCATACTTTCTTGAGGATAGGCTTTAGTTTTTTGTTGTTGTTGTTGTTTTGCTTTTTTTTTTTATCCTGTTTGGTCTTTTGAGTGAGTTCCCAGATAAAAGTCCAGGCTACCCTTAAATGTGTTCCCTATCCTGTCTCAGCCTTACCAGTGCTTGTGTTACAGGGTTATGCCACCAATCCTACTGTGGCCACCGTGTTTTTGTCCTCCTTGGGTGAGCCACTCTTCCTGGTCCAGTCGACAGTGGCCAGGAGCAAGGACGGAATGCCTAAACAACCGGCAGATGGTGTCCCTGATGACAGGGGAATTACAAGTATTGGCCAGACCCAAGAGAAGGGGGCTTGGCAAACATCCCCCAAACTAGATATAACTAGAAAAATGTAGTAATGCAAAGGGAATCATTAAATCTAACAAGAAACATTAAAATTCCAGTATCTCTGCCTCCTTCAGCAAATCCTACCGGCATGCACCACCAGGCTGTGGAGAGGGAGGAGGGATGAGCAAAGGGGTCAAGACCATGCTGGGGAAACCCACAGAAACAACTGACCTGAACAAGGGGGAGCTCATGGACCCCAGTCTGATAGCTGGGGAATCAATATAGGACCCAGTGTGGGTGTCAGTTAGGAGCACTGGGCAGTCTATGGGGTCTCGACAGTGGAACCAGTATTTATCCCTAGAGTATAAATGGACTTTGGGAGCCCATTTCCCATAAAGGGAGACTCTCTCAGCCTGGACACACTGGGGGAAGGCTAGGTCCTGCTCCAAAATGTGACAGACTTTGATGATTCCCCCCTAGAAGGCCTCACTCTACCTAAGGAGTGGATGGAGTGTGTTGGGGGAGTCAATGGAAGGCATGGGAGGATGGAAGGGCAGGGAACTGGGATTGATATATAAAATAGAGATTGCTTCTAATTTAAATTAAAAAGGGAAAAAAATAAAATTCCAGCACCTACTTGTGTGTAAAGTCGATATAGATATCAGTGGGAAAATCTAGGTGGTCTTTTAGCACTTGAGTACCTATATAGTTGCTCATTCGCTCTTCTTTTTCTAATATATAGAGGCTAAATATTGCTACTTGACCAAAGCAAATAAATAAATGAGGGTTGGGGGGCAAGGAAATAGGGCCTCATGGGGTAGGGAAAAGGCGAGAATACCAGAAAGGTGAGAATACCAGAAAAACAGTTCTGCATTCAAGGCTGGGTTCTATCACCGAGAAGCAAATGACTGGAGCAAGCCATCCCTCGGGGGATATCTTTCCTCATCTCTGTCATGAAGATGGGGAAGGACCAGCCTCATGTCTTGGTGGCGGTGCCTGGTGGCCGCGTGAGTAACCAGGAGTACTTTCAAAGACCAAGGTGTAGTGAGCCCTTCTGATGCTCTCCGCAACCCAAGAGAGCACACACCACAGCCCCTCTACCTTAGAGGGGTCAAATCTGCACCTGAAACCACACCCAAAGGGTGTGGCCACTACTTCAAGTTCACTGACAAGGCAAGACGCCACGCACCAAGGATGCACCTAGGCGTGGTGGCATGTGCCTGCAGCTCCAGTTACCTAAAGGACTGACACAGAGGATGTTTGAGCCCAGGAGTTCGAATCCAGCTGGGTATCACCATCATCATCATATAAGGGGAAATTCCACAGTTCTATAATTTGCATATTTAAGAAGATTTATGGGTAACAATGATAACCAGTTATGTTTGGGGCCCGCTACATCCTACATGAGTAAGCACTTAGGATCCCTTTACTGTTTAAGTTGATGTTTACCTAATAAATGTATAACTTTTACAATGATCTATTTGTAATAAAACCTACTTTTTTGTTCTTATTCTGGTACCTTTTTTAAAAATTGCATCATTTCTCCACATTTTAAATGGACAGCACTATCTAGTTGAATATTTAGACTCTAGTACAAAAACAAAGTCTCAATAAATATTCATGGATAGATAAGTGGTCAAGCTCTCTGTTTTTAAAAAAATCAGAATTCACTCATTATCTTTTAAATAATTTAATCCTCACATATATGGGGAGGCATTCTCCTCAGACTTTGATTTACTGGAACATTGAGAACACTAAGCACGATAATAGTTTATAAATCAAGGCTTCAGGTCTTTAAATTGTAACTGACAATGGAATCTCACTTTGTCTTCTCTAGGATGAGGAAATGCAATATACATGATTTATTATGCTATTTCCAGGGTGCTTTGTTAAGTGCTGTCTAAATACGCTGGTTGTGTTACTATTGATCCTGTATTCCACTGTCAACAGTCTTCCAACAGCTGTCAGCTTTGCCAGCCTCAGAATAACAATAAAGTGATGTCACCCGTTTTTGATCTTTTGACTCACCCGTGTTCATTCTGGAAACAACAGCCACACGTTGCTGGGGAGCTGGACTCCAAGGCAGAAGCCCTGGGATGTGTAGTTTTGCTTTTGACAACTCCGAGAATGTGACCAAAACAGATCACCTCCATGAACCTGAACCCCTGTTCTGAAGCGTGTTGCATCTCTTAGAGTAATTAGACTAAAACCATAGTCACATTTCTAATCTCAGTTGTGAATCCGATCACATTTCTATACATTGCCTAAGTTAACTTTTCCCTTTCTCTTCTGAAAATATTTTTAGGTGCTACCAAGGCACACAGAAGCTATTTTTTGCCTTAAACAACAAGAAACAGCAGGAGCAGATGTCAGTGTCCCCAGCACTTTGAGACATCAGGTCACTTGTGCGGTGCACCCTCCCTCCTGTGACCCTGCTAGAGAGGAGAATCACGGCTCCACGGGGCATGTGATGTGATCTAAGGCAACCTCCCTTCCATGAGGTGACCCAGATATAATTTCTGTTTGGTCACATTGTAAGGAAAGCATCATCGGTAACCATTGTGTCCCCAAGCCCATGGATGCACACTTGAGAAAAGAGTATGTCATGTTTGACCCTGCTGTGAGGTCAAAGGGACCACATCATTAGGAACAATGACAGTTTTTACTCCTTTTTAACCATAATTGGTTAGTTGTGGTGTGGGGGAAAAAAAGATGGAGTTGCCAGGAAATGACTGCAAGCTTATGCATGTGCTGTACCTTACAAAATCGTGTGTTTGATGTTTGTACTTTGTTACTTTTTAGAAGATTTATATTTATGATTTCCAACTATTTGTTTTTGGGGGGGCATCTGTGCGCATGAGTGCAGGTGTCTACAGAGGCGAGGGGCATCAGATCCCTGGAGCTACGTTACGGATGGCTATGAGCCTTCAGATTTGGGGGTTGCTGGGAGCTGAAGTCAGGTCCTCTACAAGAGCAGAACGTGCCCTTACCCACAGAGTCGCCTCCTTTTCCGCTTCCTTTATTACTTTTTTAAAAGAGAGTATAAGCGATAGTTATAGACAAGCATTTGGTAGAATATCGGACCTGTTTATAATAGTGAAATGATTCTTTTCTGGCTGATTTGATCTTCTGAGGTGCATAAGAAATATCATCACAGGAACCAAGCACCTAGATTTCCTATGCAGCTCTTCGTCTCGCGTTATTGGGTTTAATGACTGCTGGTGTCGATTATTATTATAATTTTTTAATGAGACCAGTCCTCAGTGTGTTTCCGTGTCAAATGAAGTCATCATGTCTAATTATTGCATTTGTTATCTTCCAGGGTTGATCATCACGTACCAGGAGTGACATCTACTTCACAATATCGGCAACAGCAGCAACCTGAAGCTTAGATCTCCTGCTGAGTGGGACGGGAGAAAAAATGGAAGAGTGATCCTCAAAGGTAAAGAAAGCCTCATCCCCTCATAAAACGCCCTTCTACAGTGCCCTCTTAAGATGCACCGTGTGGGGCAATTTTTCTCTTTCAGTAGTGTCGTGTATTTCTACCTTGTAGTTCCAGAGCTCTTAATAGGCTGCTGCTGAATTTAAAAGTCTGTTGCTTAACTCCTTGGTTACCTGTATAGTTTGACCAAGATGGGGTCCGCATGTCAATCTGGAACATCAGAACATCGGGCAAATGGGATTTTCAGGAGTCTCAGAGGGGCTGAGATACTGGAAGTGAGGATAAGCGTCGAATGGCAGAAATTGATGGCGTTGAAGGCGTGGGTGTAAAGACCTCACTAGGGCCCGAGAGTTTATCAGGGAACTCTTACACAGATAAATATAAAGAAGTGCAGGAGCAGAAGTATAGAGAGTGACTCGGCGTGGATAAGAACACTGGCGGGCTAACTAATCTGCCCCGGGCAACATGGGAGCTTCAGAGGCCTCCCCATGGCAGTGTGGATGCAGTCTGGGATGTTCCCCCTGAAAGGCAGGCATTAGCAGGGTTTCTCACTCTCTGGGTCTGCTGCCCAGGCCGTGAGCTCCCCCACAGTTCCAGGCTGTGTTAGCAGCACCTGAGGCAGCAGGCAGAACACCTAGTTACCGATGGAGACTGACATAAAGGCAAAGAAAATCCCGTGAGGAGCGGAAATGCCCATCCCCAAAGCTGTGGCTGCAGTAGCAAGTGGCCCAGAGGTCAATATTCAGCCAGTCAGTGACTGTCACACCCCCCTTTTGCTTGACTTCGAAACTGGTCATTGTTCTCCCAAATGGAGAAGAAAGTGTGATTCATGTGGTAAAGTCCTTTCTAAGTGTCATGGAGCCAAGATGAACTGTTTCAAAATGAGCGTTTACCATTGGATCTGTGCTCACAGGAAGGCATGCATCTCGGCATACTGTGTTTTTTTGTGTATATGTTTGTTTTTCAAGTGTGGTGAGCATTTTAGGAAAGAGTTATAAAGTATAATGTGATAACATTTGATAGTACTTTCACAGTTATTGGGTATTGTTCCATTTGAGGATAGTGTACAGGCATGTATATTCCTCTCTCTCTCTCTCTCTCTCTCTCTCTCTCTCTCTCTCTCTCTCTCTGTCTGTCTACACACAAACATCTCTCTTTAGAGGATAATTTGAAGGAGTTGCTTCTCTCTCTTTCCACCACACTCAGTAAGTGGGCCATCTCACAGCCCCTCCCCCGCCCCCACTCCTTTCTGTTTTTTTTTTTTAACATTGCGATGTTAAACGATAAAATAAAGCTGCATAAAAGGTGAGCGGGTTTTGTTGCAATCTGTAAAATCACTCTAGAAGTTGCGTCTAGAAAGGAGCAGCCATTAAGTATATATGATGAGCAGACAGTAGCAAACATCTCAGCTGTTGCGGTGATGCCTGGGGAAGTTGCAGCAGATGGCAAGGCAGAAACGCCGAAAGAGGAGACAGAACCAGACCAGAGTTGGTAAGACTTCACTAACAGTGGGGAGGCATCTCTCTGAGGGAATCTTACGCTAAGCACAAGCTGAAACTGGAGTGGATGACCCAGAGACTCTGAGACTTGGCAAACTCTTGCCTCCTTGCTGAGCTAACAGTTGCCTCCCCACTGGATTTCAGCTCTGTAGTTTCCCGAGTCTTCAAGAGTGAACCCTCTGCTTATACTAGGTTTTAGCTCCGATGGTAGTCTCAGATACCCCGCTCCATTGTCTTCATGTAAAACTCGTCTGCCGGTCTCCTTTTACTCACCTGTGGTCTAATCGAGAAAGTAGTGTCTGTGGTTCATCAAGCTTCCAATTGCTTGTGTAGGTCTGTGGTTGTTAGGCATAGATCACCGTAGGATGAGCTCACATATGTGCATTTTTAGCAGTCTCTGAGAGGATGCTGACCTGTTTTTCCTAAGACATGACTTGGAGAACAGCTCTAAAAAAATGAGATGATGATCCGGGATGGCACTCTAATGATTTGGGTTAGAGAGAGAACGGACTTCTTACCAGCTCACACTTTGGGGAGTCGTATTAGCCTCAGACAGGATCTGAGTCGTGGGATGGTGACGTGGGAGGTCAATGCAATATGGAACATATTATATTTATTTACCAGAGAAAGAACTTACACACAAGATGGGGAGTCAGAAGCATGGCAGGCTTCCAAAAAGAGGAGAAGAAGAGAGTTTCATTTTCTCTTTCACTTCCTTTTATCTTCACCTGTCCTAAATTTCCCTATCTCCGCCCTCATGGGGCTTTGTGGGGCTCACCCCAACAGGATGGAATGACATTTAATAGCTGAGTGTGATGGTACATGCCTTTAATCCCAGCACTGGGGTTGCAGTGGCGGGTGGGTCTCCTAGTTTAAAGCCAAACTGGACTACAGAGTGTTCCAAGCCACCAGCCAGTGCTACATAGCAAGAAACTGATGCAAAAATGAAAATACACAAGATTGCTTTTCTAAAACAAATTGATTTATCTTTATTTCATGTGTATGATTGTGTGCCTGAAGACATGTTTTTGCACTGCGTTGGTGCAGTGCCCATGGAGGCCAGAAGAGAGTGTCAGATCCCCCTTGGAAGTGGAGTTGCAGACAGTTGTGAGCAGTCCTGTGGGTGATGGGAACCAAACCCAGGTCTCCTGCAAGAGCAGCAAACTCTCTTGACCTCTGAGCCATTGCCCCAGTGCTGAAATCAGATCTTAATATCATACAGTTTTGAATACTAACTTCCCAGGTATGTTTTCTATCCCCTACTACATTAAAAACTTTGGAGTTTCATAAATATTGGATGGATGGACGGACGGACGGACGGACGGACGGACGGATGGATGGACGGACAGACAGATGATGGATTCAGCAAGAAATAACTTCTTAGAAAGAAATCTCTGTGGCATATTATGCAGAGAAAGACAGATTTCCTGTGCATGGAATCACGCTTATAAGGGACACTCGACACAGAGGGCATCTTAATAGAGGCCGGGCTCTGTCTATTCAGAGCATGAGCCGCCGGGTGTCCCTAGCTCTGCGCTCTTCAATAAGCACAGCTCTTCACAAAAGCCTTTTTGCCATCTGATTGAATGCAATGAGAGAAATGTCATTTTTATCAAGACAAATTGTACATTTTTACTTTATGCAAGAGCCACTGGGTGTGTGAAACCAGGAAATCATCACACCAATTTAATAAATCCCTTTGTAAACGTGTCCTCCTTGAGTTTAGATTCTGCAGCTGCAGCATGGTCTGAATGTTTATTCACGCCAAGGACAAAAGCGCTTTCTGGTTTCTTGCTCATCATCAGCCTCGCATGTTTTCTGTCAGCATCTTTATCTGCATTTCTCAGACCATGATTGGTAAATTTATTCCACTTTGCTTGCTAAAATAACTGTCTGTCCTCTGCTTACTCTTTGATTTATTCCAGATAGTGTGTTCAATGCCTGCTTTCAAAGCTCAGTGTTAATTTTATTCTATGTATTTTAAAACCGAGGTCCCACATATATATTTGCTCCCATATATTCTGTTGTGTATTAAACTTGAAAACACACCCAATAATTTAATTGGAAATAACTTCAGTTAAAATTGAAAATGTTTGCAGTTCTGTGTTATCATAATTAAGCATAGCGGATGGTGAGCATGAATCCTTGAAAATGCATCCTTACAAATGTACTTCATAATTCATCTCAACAGTGGAAAAAGTTATTTTGTTTTGTAGCATCCCTCGTGTTAAAGCTAAAATGTTAATTAAAGTGTAATAATATTAACTTCAGTTTTGCTATTTCGAGGGTGTGTTTACCTGGCTGAGTCCTAGACTTATTTCCTCAATTAGAAAATGGAGAGTTTAGGGCAGTGCTGGGGGATGACCCAGTGGGTGAAATACTTGCTATATAAGCATGAGGGCCAGAGTTCAAATCTCCACAGCATATGCAAAGCTAGATGCAGTAGCCCATGTCTATAATCCCAACACTCCTGGTGAGATGAGACACAGATTCCTGGGAAATTCTTCATGGGTGCATAACTGTGTACACACACACAGAGAGAGAGAGAGAGAGAGAGAGAGAGAGAGACAGAGACAGAGACAGAGACAGAGACAGAGAGACAGAGACAGAGACAGAGAGAGACAGAGACACAGAGAGAGAGAGAGAGTCACATACACACAGAAAAAGAGAGAAACACACATACACACAGAGTGTGAGAATCAGGCAAACAAACACACAAACACAAATACACAGAGAGAGAGAGAGACAGATACACAACACACATATACATTGACACAGAAAGAGACAGAGATGACAGATACATACAGACACACACACACAGAAAGAGACAGGCACACAACAGAGAGAGAGAGAGAGAGAGAGAGAGAGAGAGAACACTGTTTTAAGAGAGAAGGGGAGAGGGGCTGGAGAAGTAGCTCTGTGATTAAAATCATTTTGACATCTCTTCCAAGACCCTTGCTGTTTGGTTCCCAGAACTGACACAGCGTCTCACAACCACTGGTAACTCCAGTTCCAGAGGATTCAATGCCCTCCTCTGGCCCCTGTGGGTGCTAGGGATACACATGGTACGTAGACCACATGCCAGAAAAACACATCAAATGAGAGCATTTTTTTTCTTCGTAAAGGAAGGAGGAGGAGGAGGAGGAGGAGGAAAATCTGCCTAGGACAAAAACCTTGAGAGTCATTCCAGTGCCCATCTTCAATCTCAGGGTACAGAACTCATGCAGTACCACCTGGTCAGTTTCAAGAAGTAAGAAAGAAAGAAAGAAAGGAAGGAAGGAAGGAAGGAAGGAAGGAAGGAAGGAAGGAAGGAAGAAAGAAAGAAAGAAAGAAAGAAAGAAAGAAAGAAAGAAAGAAAGAAAGAAAGACAACCTATGAACTACACACAGTTGGAAATAGAGTTTAAAAGGCGGGTTTAAGATTTAGAAAGACCTGAGTTCAACACCCAACTTTTTCGTTTACCACATAGCTACTCTAAGAAAATATTCCAAAACTGCTTTA